GTCTGGTGAAAGCTGTCTCCCAGGGCAATGCAGATTTACCCCCGCAGGTTTGCACTGCCAAACTGTCGTGGACAGGGAGGGAGGGAGGGAGTGGAGAGGGTGGGGGGGAGAGATAAGAGAGAGAAGAGGAAAAGGAGAGAGGAGAAGGAAGGAAGAAGAAGGAAGGAAGGGGACAATACGATCATGCTGTGCTGTATGAGAAGAACAAAACAGGTAGAGCTGAAGATTTTTTTATATTTCTTTCTGTCAAGAAATCTGCCAGGCTGCTGGGTGTCCGTGGGGTGCGTGTCAGCCTGAGCGTGTGAGGGGCTGGGGTAGGGGCTGGGGTAGGGGTAGGGGGGAGGAAATTTCAGCTGCTTTCAGCAGACATCTCTTTTCCACTTCTTTAGCATCTTGCAACTGAAGGCTCTTTTCACACCCTGCAACATGACTGTTTTGCCTTTCTGGGGCTGGTGATGTGGGGAAGGGGGGTGGCCTGTGTCCACATTTGGGGAGCTATCAGAATGTCCCCTCTATTCTTCTTCTTATTTTTTAATAGTGGGCAGATGTATTGCCTAGGATATTCTGTCTGTGATGCTGAGGGTGTGGATGAGGGGGGTGCAGCTGGCAGGAAACGTGATGAGAGCTGGCTCTACCTTGGAGATAAAGGAAGCAATTCTTCATCTTATGGAAAAAAAAAAAAAAAAAGAAAGGATGCCCAGTGAGCCTTGATCCCTGGTCAGAATGCTTTCTATTGCTCCTGGCTCCAATGAATGGGAGATGCTTTATGTGCATGTGCCGTGAGGTGGCTCAGAGGACAGGTGCATTCATTTTTTTTTGTGTTACAACAATCGGAGCAAGAATTAACCTGAAGCTTTATTTCCCAACCTGTGCTATGGTGAAAAATGCAATTAATTAATAACAAAAGCGTTAGCCAGGGGAGAGGGAGAGTCACCCTCATTGCAATACCCTTCATAGTACAACCAGTTAGACAACTGTGCACCAGCTGGTAAAGAGACAGAGGACCACGCCTCTGTTAGCTCCGAACTCGGGTGGGATAAGAGAAGCTCACGGTGTGAACCTGTTGGAAGCCAGTTAATTCTCCTGACTGGTACCACCGGGCTTTTTCTGTCGGAGAATCGGGGATGATAAGAAGGTTTGGGTGGTGGCTGGTTTTCAGTGCCAAATTTTTTATGTACAAAATGATAATGAAATTGAGAAAATAGCTACTTTGGTCACTCCCCCCCTCGCCCTTCCCCCTTTTATTTCATGTGAAAGCCCAAACCTGCTCCTGATTAAGAGAGCCTATTTTGGCTGAACCTCTTGGACTTCCTCGGGAGGATGCTGGATTTATGCTGTTGGAACTTTGAGGCAGGAACTGGCCCCAGATATCTTTGTAAGGCATTTTGGAAACTTCCCCAAATTCTGGATTTGTAGGTAGCAACAAAGAGCTTTGGTCCTTGTTCTGAGCACAAAACTCAACTCGGTCTTCGGTATAGCACCATACCGGTTACTTTCTTTATATATGCATACATTTATATATATCTTACAATATAGCACTGCAGTATTCCGGACCAATAGCCTAACACACTGTGAGTAACTCCAGTTACTGTAGAAGAGCAGAGTGTTGAAAGAAAATCCGGGTTAAGGTGTGTTTCTGAATGGAGATGTGTGTGTTACCAAACGAAGGAGCAATTTTGTAAAATAATGGGGAGGGGCAGGTGATCAGGATAGAAAGAGACCCTGCGTCATCCTCTTTTTTTTCCCATGCAGGTTTTTCAAATGCTTTGCAATTAATGATACGTTCACTAAAATCTGGAGGGAGATGGTGATGGCTGAAGGGGGGGGGGGAACACGTTGCAGCCAGCCAGCAGAGCACGTTTAGCTGGCAAATATGGGATGAAAAGAGAAGAGGAGGAGAAGGAAGGCAGACAGGGAGGCAGCGTGACAGAGTGGTGGGCGGAGGTGCACAGCAAATTTTAAAATAAAGTAGGTTGCTCTGGGATTCTTTGGAGTCAGAAGAGAGCTATTTGGGGGAGGGGGACAATTTTGCCCATACCATCACAGGTCGGGCGTTAAAGCTCCTGAATATTATTCTGATGTATCTGTCCTTTACCTCTCGGTGGATTTACTCCTGCCGTTTTGTATTCTGACATGTTCAGAAATGCATGGCATGCAGGTATCTTGATGGCACGTAGTCCTGGCTTCCCACTCTGTACGTTAATCCACCGCATGGTACACACCCCTTTGCGCGTGCATGTGCGGCACACATCCCCGCTCGCATCTGTACTACACATACATGCACAAGCACACAGGCACTCGTTGGCACATGCTTTCTGATCCTTATGCAGCCATACAACCTGAATGTGCCTGCCCGTGCATATTGGGGTGGCTGTTCCTAGGCTCAGAGCCCAACCCCTGCTCCTATACCTGAATACACACCACAGTTGCCAAACTGGCAGTATAGCAGTTCGCTCAGCAAAGCTGGTCATACACCAGAGGAAGCTTTAATTTGGAGAAGAAAAAGACCTTGCTTTACAGCTTGTGCTCTTCCTCTATCCCCACCCAGACCTTTCACAGAGAGAAAAAGATGGAATGGGTTCTTCAGCACAGGCGGGAGTTTCCTTCCTAAAATAAAGACAGCTCTCCTCAAATTATTTTTCAGGGGAAGCCCCTGGTGTCCCGCCTTTTTGGCAGCTAAAGAGCGAAATGTTGAATTTACAGGCTTGGGCGTGGAAGAAATCTCTTCCCATTTGTGTCTAGGTGTGCCTTTCTGTGTCTGTCTTCCCACCCCTCCAAGACAAGTATGTTCACACACGCATACCTTGCGGATCATTCTCTCCTGTGAGTGCGATGCCCATGTGAAGTATCTCGACTGGCTGTGCCCGCCCATGAGAAATGTAGCTAGCTTGGTGGTGTCATTTCTGCCTACAGTTGATTGCAGCTCTGAATCTGTGCCCACAAAATATTCAGCTGGAAGGTGGCGTAACCAAGAGGCTGGGTCAAGCAATTTCTGGAAAAAAAAAAAATTGAACTTAACCTTTATTGCCGTCAAGAGATGCGGTCTGTAATAACGCAGGGCTGGGTGGTTCGATAGGTGGCTAGAAATGCAAGTGTTGCATGCACCCGCATCCTAGAACAGATGGACGTTATGGGGGTATGTGCTCAGTATTGGATTGCATGAGTGATTAAACAATAACCCGCGAGCAGGTTTCCCACTTGTGGGTGAGATGAGTCTCATTCATCACCAGCCATATCCGACGGCTTCCCTCCCGCTCCGTCCTCTCCTCCTCACCCCGGTGCTGGAGAGCCGGCGGCTGCAAAGGTTTAAACCTGCCACACCCAGCAAATCAAAGGAGGGAGGGGGGAAGAGGCAGTCTGCATTTCTTTCCCCTTCCACACGAGCGGCATGAATAAACAGGGCTCTACCTCTAAAGATGCAGCTTAATGCAATTGGAGAAGGAGAAAGCATTAGGGAACTGTTCGAGCAATTACAGCCAGCCGGAGAGGTGTCTCGTTGTTCCAGGAGCTGCAGAGGTGTGCAGGAAGGAGGCAATGGAGAAAGAGAAAGAGAAAGATGCATGCGGAGTTAAGGTTTTCTTGCCTCAGGATATTAAAATGTCTCGAACTCATTTAGAATAACTTAATTATGCCTCACAATCCAGGTGCTTTAAAACTTGCAAGACATGGTCTTACCTTTACCGCCAAGGTGCAGAGAGGAAAAGCGGTATTTTAAAAGAAAGGTGTCCGTCCACACCCCTCCTCCCTCCACTTGTCAGCATGGTGTAAATCACCAGAAGACCATTGACTTCAGGGCAGAGGCACTTCATCTGCACCGGGGGAGAGTCAAGCCTCTGCCTCTGCCTTTCTGAGAGACACCAAGTGGTTTCTGTGCTTCTTCCAGTAAACAGTTGCTGCATGGAAGTTTAATTACTCCAGGTCCTTACTACTTCTCTTCCTGGGGTGGTACCCCTGGGATTTCTCCCGAGAAGGGTGTCTCCAGAGAAACACCCCTCCCATCACCCTGTGCTCTTCCACTGCCTTTGCTGACTATTAAAGACATTGATTTCTCCTAGATCGCGTAATGTAGCTGTTCTTAATGGCACAGACAACCCCCTCCTAGGGAATTAATTGCAGGCAGAGTTTCCAGGGGAAGGACAGTGGTAATACTTAGAGGGAAAGAAACCAGTCTGTTGATCCAAATTGCCTATTGCCACTTGCTCCTGACTGGGAGTCCCACCAAAAACCTGTCAGGCAGTACCCACTGGTATGTAGAGGCATCCCTGGAGAAGAGGAGGCTCCGGGGAGACCTTATAGCAGCCTTTCAATACCTGAAGGGTGCCTATAGAAGAGCTGGGGAGGGACTCTTTGCCAGGAAGGGTAATGATAGGACAAGGGGAAACGGTTTTAAATTGGAAGAAAAAAGATTCAGATTAGGTCTCAGGAAGAAATTTTTTACTCTGAGGGTGGTGAGACACTGGAACAGGTTGCCCAGGGAAGTTGTGGATGCCCCATCCCTGGAAGTGTTCAAGGCCAGGCTGGATGTGGCCTTGAGCAACCTGCTCTAGCGGGAGGTGCCCCTGCCCATGGCAGGGGGGTTGGAACTCGATGATCTTTGAGGTCCCTTCCAGCCCAAACCATTCTGTGATTCTATGATTCTATGAATCTTATCTCTGCCTGTGCCAGGCTGGGTACACGGGTGCAGCCCAAGGAACCAACATGCATTGTCTGAGGGCTTGTCTTGGTCCAATGCTAAGGGTGTGTGAATGATCTCAGAGCTGCTCCTGCCTCAGGATAAGAAAACAGGCTGTATGTAGCTCCAGACTCTGCCCATACCATCTGAAGAGGTTGGGCATTGCTTGGGGATGGGGGATGAGAGGGACCTCTCCTCCAGTCATGTGGCTTTGACTGACTAGAAGGAGAAAGTGCAAAGAGGTTTCACCTCAAGTACAGTCTCCTTTCAGACTAGCTGTCGTGGATTCTGTGATGCCATCCCAGGATCTAGTAGCCACCCTGCACAGAGACTGTATTTCCCTCTCCCCTTTTCCCAGCGAGCAGGAATTCCCCACTGCTGGCAGCTGCCAAGTTGCAAAGCCTTCTTGTGCTAGTGGGAAGGTGAACTGATCCTTTTGCCCATTGCAAGATGAAAGTGGGCTGATAGTCTTCTGTGGTGTAAATCAAGGATGTGTATACCTGCTTGGGTTTGCTGGCCTCCTGCTGTGAGGCATGTGCTC